GTGTAGTTTTCAAGGGGGGAGAAAAGGAAATATAATCATAATAACCATGGTATTTACCTGATTTTTCACCAGTAAATATTGCCATAAAATCAGGCCTGAAAAATAATATGCAATGAGGCTTGAAGATAATGATAGCTTCTTGATGGTTGTTGTGGGTTTTTCGGGCTCTAGCTTCTTGAGTTTGTTCTCTACCACCCGCAAGACTCTGATTACAAACAATCATGGAGCTTACTTCATTATTTTCTTTTCCCTGAAATTACCATTGCTTCTTCACGCCCCTGTCATCAACCCCTAGTATTTTGGGGCAGCTGCCAAGGTCCATGACTAACAGCTGACCTAGGACCCTGCAAACTGTTTCTCTTCTCCTCCCTATGTCTAAGGCTGGTGTCTTAATTTTCCACAATCCCCTAATGCAGTGTTGCTCCAAGGCGTTGCAGGAAATTTAGTGGCTCCTACAGGGGCATGCCAATAGTAATGTTGGGGGCATGGATGCCAGTGGAAACTAGTCTGTTAGGGCAGGTGAGACACTGTCCCCTGCACCTCCTGGTTAGAAAGGGTGGTAGAGGCCATTTGCCAGAAAGCCTCCAGGAAGAAAACTTGGTCACATACAGTGGAAGCCTCCAGAAGTGATGTACGTTAAGAGTGTTCTTCCATTCAGTTTGTGAAGGAGTTACAATTGCAATGCTATTGTCAAGGATGAGAAAAGAAATAGGAAAACCAGAATTAATTAGCCCCACCTTGTATTCTGGAAGCTATAGCTGTGGGGGTACAACGTATCCACTAAGACCACCAGCTTCTAGACGTGATTGACTCCAATCTCTGTCATTCCTAACAGCACAATCAACTGTCAGAGGATGATTGGAGGTGTGATCTAAAACATGAGGAGGTGTCAGCTTAGAGAAAGTTGATTTATGCTTATCTGAAGGAAACAAGAGGACTTCCCTTTACATGTTCTAAGATTTCCATATCTAGCTAATCATGCTTGCATAGGAGAATAGATTTTTTTTTTACATTACTTTTTCTAACTTGGTGCATAGGACATGCTCGTATCATTGTTGACTTCAAAACAGTGTGAGACTAATACACAAGTAAAAGTGGGGAAACTGCTAGGAAGCCACTCTCAGAAACAGACCATAAGATGGCCCTCTGCAAAGAAAGGGTGGGGGTGTGCCTATGCTGGCTAGGGTATTCTGGGAGTTGTGGTCTCTCACCAAGGGAAAATCATTCTGATTTTTTAGAGGAACAAAACTAATAATGTAGTTACTTCTGGGAAATGTACCTTTGTAACCTATGAGATTCATTCTTCAGAAGCTTTACATTACCAAGGCTTTTTCCTAACAGAAGCAGAATTGGAAAATTAGTTTTAAAAGCAAATCATAATCATCTTAGAACTGTAGAGCTATAAGGGACCCTATGGATCATCAAGTCCACTCTCTGTCAAGAAGGCACAGTAGGGAACTGAAGTCCTGCTCTGCAGCCAGATGCCTAAACCACTGAGCTATTCAACAGTTCCAATTAGTTATTAATTAAGAATTAAGAATTAGTTACATTTATAGTTCCAGTTCCAAAATATAATAACCTGATGTTATGGTTACAACTTATGAATATAACAGTCACTTTCCCCAAAAGTAACTACAATGTTATATATATATTTTTTTCTTCTTTAAAAAATCGGAATGTTTTTCTTTCAACAGCAGAAGTCATAATACAAGCCAGCACCTGAACTATGCAATGTCACTCTTCCACCGTTCAGTAAGGCCACTCCCCTCACAGTGACAAAAGTTATGAAAAAGTCAGACTTAGACCACAAAAGGAGTGAAGTTATCACTGATTCTGTTACAGCCATAATGTAGTGGAGTTTTATACTTTTGTTACTAAAAAAAAATATTAAATGCTAGCAACTATTTCTAAGCTTGCAACTCGTTGCCTCTGTGCACTTTCTCTAGAGGACAAGGAAGCTCCCACCTAGTCACCATCATCCTGCAGACTAGAGTCGATCAATACAAACTAGGCGCTTGGTGGTCTTGAATGCCTCTTCTGCTCCCCTTCTGTTTTTATCCCAGAGCAATGGCCCCAGCAGAGGACAGGGCTTGTTACTATAAAAGCCCGGGGCAGGGTGATAACAAGGGAGGAGCTCTCGGTTTCTCGCCTCAGGGTCCGACTGCTGCGATTTCTCCCTCACCCCCTTCTGCTCAAGGGCGGGGTTGCCCATTACAAAGGGACCGTTTGCCCAGTGCCGGATTCTGGGCGGATGTGAATGCCTGACTGAACCAGGGAGGTGGGGCCTGGCAGGCCTTCAGAGCAGGTAGGAGGGACACCAGACCAGACCAGATCAATTCAATTCAGATGCGTTTTGTGTGCAGGATTAGGTTTGCAGGCCTGCCAGTTTACACCAGAAGTGGCGCTTAGGGAAAGGAAAGGACCCATAGTATGCTTCCAGTCTCTTCTAGTGAAGGCAAGAGCTGCTCACCAAGGCCTATGAGTCTTTCACCCTGTGGCCAAAATGATGCAGCTTCCTGTGGTACCTTGTAGGCTGACACATGGATAGGGGCACAAGTTTTGATATGCTGCAGCTCATTGTCCTTTGAATAACCAGTGCCCTTCCAGTCTTTATTGTGGTGAGAAATCACCACCAACATCAGGGCTGCCCATTCAGAAAGACCATGGTATCGGTATGCAAGTGGAGGTAATCGATGTGATCCTGAAATGAGTATCAGTACCTCTCTGAGCATCTGCCATCTCTTCTTTCCCTTACTACTATATGATCCCACATCCCCCTACAAAACTCAGATTAGGATAGAATTCTCTTAAGTCAGAAAGAGGACAAGACTCCTAGACATTGGCCAAGCATGTTTTCAAACATTTAATGCAACCCTTGAAATACTACCACCGTTGCGATGCGTCCACTGCAAGATTCGACTGACCTGCTGTCCTTTAATTGACTAGTGATCTTCAGAGATCCAGCTTGCCAATGCTTCCTGTCCACTGATATAGCCATGTTTATCGGGCAGAAGACAGCAAACCTGCTTTCTGAAATTTCCCACTTAAGATTGCCAGCTTTTCAAACTCCATCCATAGCTGTGCCTTTAACCACATCTTGCTACATGACCTTTAGCAAGTAAAACTTCTTCACTCTATGATCTCTGCACTTCAAGCTGTTATTAAAAGCAAAGAAGCAACCCTAGCTGGTTTATACGCATGTTGGTTGACTGTTTCTGATCACTGGTGCCTCTTTTCCATGTTTTGAACCTCTTCTTTACTCTTACCTATTTTAAACTTTATAGGTAGACAGCTAAGCAAATTTAATTTTTGAAAAACCTGTGCCAGCCTCACTTAGTGCACTGCTGACATCCTCAAGTAATGCCATGACTCAAATGATAGCTTGATTCTAACTGCTCTTGATTCAGCTCTTTCATCTTGTATGTTTATTTTAATTTTTGCAATTCTAGTCAGTATAACTTGGAAATACTAACATGCATGGATTTTTTGAGTTCTTTGCTTGATCCATTGGCTATTGCTTCCTTGTGAGGAGGTAAAAGTGAGCTGATTGGCCTGTACGAAAACCTGACCATTTCTTTCCATGTCATGAGAACTTGAAGGAAAACCTAAATTTTCCCCCTCTCTATTTCCATTGCTGGGATTCAGCAGGTTGTGTCCTCCCATGCTGAAAACCTGTGCAACGCCAAGAAAAGTAACCCTGTTTGTTTGTAAGAATCCCCAGTTCAGGGTTGCCAACCTTTCAAATGGCAACAGTGCCATTAATATCAACGTGACAGGCAAGCATGGGAACCTAAGGGAAAAAGGACCAGCCCTGAAGGCCAAGGATGAGATGGGACCCCATCCCTTTCCATATAGAAGAGTTGGCTGGGCTGGCACTTGAATCTTTCTTCAACAGTGGCAATGAGACCACATCCTCTGCTTATACCTGTGACAACTGCTTATGCCTCAGTTCACTAAGCAGTAGAGCTGTTCCTTGCTAAAAAGCCTTGGTGGGTGTTAAGAGGACAAGATTATGTGAGCCCATCCCAACCCAATCACCAACTCTGGCACTATCAGCCTCTTTCTTAATATCAAAGTAAACAAACAAACAAAAAAACAGAACGAACAAAAAAAAATCCTCTGCTCTTCTGAGGCATTAGTTGCTTTGCTGGGTATGCCAGTGCATATGAGAGATCATGAATTCTGCCTGGCTTGCTCAGATCTTACCAATCTGTACTAGGATAATAACTGTTTCAGGCCAACCGAAAAAGCATGATGAAGTGTGCAAGATTTCATGATTACATGTACGGATGAGCCCCTGTGCTTCCAGATTTGCTGTTACATCATTGCATCTGGAAAGATACAAAAAGATGTGCACAGACCTTGGAAACGTCTACACCTTTTTGTGCCCTTCCAGTTGCAATGATGTAGCAGTAAATTTGGAAGTACAGAGGATCCTTGTGATAGTACCTGCCACTAGCCTTTCCCAGAGTGTCCAAAATACAGGCAGCCGGAGCAGTCCATGTCAACAAAAGTGGAACAGGTCTTTTGTAAAATGAATGGTTCTTAATTGCCTGTGCAAGACCAAAACACCCTCAGTTATTTTGCATTACAACAGCAATACCTTGTAATAGCATACTGTTCTTCAGGGGCGGGATTCATTTGTCTTTCAGCTCCTGTGAGGATGACAGCTAATCTCAGAAGGGACAGGAGAGCCTAAGGAGGTGGCAGATAATATCATGGTCCCTATTACTCAGAAAACAGATCCTGTTCCATTACACCACTGTTTAGTTGGCCTAATAAAGTACTAAGCCAATAAGGATTTTGGAGTTGGCTTTACTGCCAACATTGCTACATCTATTTTTGTTTGTGACTTTTCAGATTCTGTGCTGACAGGTAAACCAGCAGTTCAGCAATTCCCCCAGGTATGGTGCTGCCCACTGAACCCAAAGCTTTCAGTGACAGATGGACAAAAAGAAAGCTGAGTTTGGTAAATGCCTTTATTGGCTACCGGGTGCAGGTCCACTGCTTGTTTCGCCCTTAGGCACAGAGGCAGGTGTGGGTGAAGGGTGGTATGCAGGAAACCCAGTATTGCTGCTGCTGCTGCTGCTGCTACAATTGCTGCTTTGACATGGCTCAGTGCTGGACACGGCGGATGGACTGGATCTGGTTGGTATGGGCCTGGGTGCTGTATTCGCTGTACTTCTTGTATTCCCCATTCTGTCTGTCCCGCTCCAAGACATATTGGTAGCCCCGGTAGCCTGGGTACTGGTAGGCCACCCACCTGGGGGGATAAAGCACAGCATCATCAAAACAGGCAGTTCCCCCACCTCCCACCCACCCTGTGCGTATCATGCACTGGGGCACAAAGGCTAGCACAATGTCCATTGGTTCCTTAACTCCTCCGGAGGAAGTCAGCAGCTCTTTAGCCACTGCTGAACTCGTGACTCCCATCATAACTCACCCGTGATCAGTCAATATAGGGTGGATGGGGACTGGAACTTGACAAGATCTAGTGGACCACAAGCTGCCCAGCCCTGACTTAAACTATCCTTTGGCACACCTTTCTTTAGTATGTATACTAGTCATCCTGTCAATGAGAGGAGATGGTACCACTGGGAAAGGTACCAGGCCCCCAAGTGAGTTTGCTTGATTTTTTTTTTTTAAGGAGGGGTGGCAATCAGATGAGAAAGAAAGGCTCGTTCCATCAGCCTCACCCACATGGTTGCTGTTGGTCAGATACAATTGCATGCAACAGCGTACAGTAGTAGATTTTTGTTGGACATGCAAACTCTACATAGCTTGTTTGGCCACAGGTTACAGTAAAAGAAATGCATGCATACATCTGGAAAGGTAGACCATTTTTGACTCTCTTAAAAAATGGTATCTACCTTTCTCCAGTACTGGTAAAGGAACTTGGACAAAATCATGCAGCAGCCTCCGTGCTAGGATGCTGAGACCCCTCCCCCCCCCCAGTCTGCTCTTTCCCTCACACATTGGGTTGCAATGGCCACCCTGTTATCTATCGTTCTGGATATGGTGGATATTGTAATCCTACACTCATGGAGGATACCACATGCGGGGGGGGGGTTGTTGTAAATGTAGGCTTTTCCTTCTGCAATTGTCCACGGTGTTTGCTTAATCTCTCTCTCTCTCTCTCTCACACACCACACACACACCAATTTTAAGGAAAAAGTGTGGATAAGGAACTCCAGAGAGAAATCCTTAAGCATGAAGGAGCGCAAAGTTAACAATCTGAAATACCACCTCTTTTACCTCAAAAAATCTGTGCAGCTTTGCTCATATTGGCTTCTGCAAAATATCCTTATCTATGATGACTTTCAGGCTTCTTCCAAACCTGCTGCCCATAGTCACATTTCCTTAAATGACTCTGCTCCTTCTTTCTCACCCTGTTGCTGAATTCTCTCCCTGAACCCCCCACCCCCCCTCCCAGGGTTCCAGCCTCAACTCTCCTCCAGTTCTACCTTATACAGTATATATAGGTCACTGCCTAGTCTTCTCTTCCCCTCCTCTCTCAGCTGGTTGTAACCCTTGCCTTTCCTTTGCTTCCCCTTCTGTTCCTCTCCTAATTAGCAACGTCATATTGTAAGCTTTTGTGTGGTGTACACTGAGGATACTTTCCAAATAGTGTTGGCAGCTGTGAGGGTGCTCGGGGTCCCTTGGGATTCAGCCATTTATGCCTCAGTATTATTGGAAAGACAGAAACAAAGGTAGGGGAGAAGCTCCCTCTCTTCTCTCTCTCCACCAGGGGGCATGACTTACGCTCCAGCGTTGACCTTGATGGAAGCCACTTCCTTGTTGCCCCAGCCCATGGCCTGCAGGGAGGGGTAGTCATCGGTGAGCTCAAACTTGCGTCCTTGGAAGTTCTCTCCCTCGTACAGAGTCACTTTGCTGTCACTATGGTTCTGTATGCAGAGTGGGTGAGTAAGAGGAGATCTGAGACTGGGATCATCACAAGCATAAGTCCATTCTTCCCTGTCTCTTAGGATGGGCCCTTCTCTCTCCTCTTCACCCAGTGGTGTAGTAACAGATTTTGACATGCCAGCACTTACCAGGAAAGTCCCCCCACCATTCAGAATCCAGAAATGCAGACAGTTATGTTGTGCCATGTAAACAAATTCATTCTAGCAGTTTCTATTTCCAGCAGGAGGAGTTTTTTTAAAAAATAAAGCTAGAATCTTAAATGTCTGTTTAAGACAAGTCACACCAAAATACTTCCCATGACAACAGAAGTTGCTGGAGAAATTCATTCCCACAGTTAGCTCACTCTGCTAATAAGAAGTAGAGATGCTCTTATTCTTGACTCCACTATACCACTGCCTGCACTCTGAACCTGTAAGCAGTGATTTGACTTTCAACAATTAAATGTTTCTGGCATGTAGCTACAGGGAATCATATACATTATTGGCTAAAGTTCTGATGAAGTATCCTATTTTCTGTCTTCCTGGCTATATCCCTAAGTTGACTCACATTCCTATATGAGTAGGGGTCAGCTGAAGACATTTTGCTGCCTGAGACAGAACAGCGAATAGTGCCTCCCCACTAAGCCAAGAAGATGCAGGGTATAAAGAGAAGCCAAACTCCTTAGTTAAGGGGCCTATTTTTTTTCTATTGATACCCTGGATCAAGATATCATTTGTCATGACACCCCATGTATCTGGGTCGCCTTTTCTACGTGGCTTTCATCCTACATTCACTCTCACACACCCTGCCTTTCATAAAGACATTGCCTTGTGTTCGCTATGCTGCTCCTAAGAAGCTATTGTGGAGGACTGTCAAATGTCTTTAGAGCTGCCTGCTTGCCAGGTCTCTCCCACTCCAGTCCCTAGGAAGCAGAAAAGAAGGTTATACATGATATAAAGCAGCAGTTTCCAAGCCCCCAGGAATAGTGGGCTCCCAGTGTCCCATGGACTCAAGGGGTTAAATGGGAAACCAGGCACAGAGGAGCATGTCCCCCCTCCCTCCTTCCTTCCTGTCACCCACCCATCCTTTACAGCCGCACTCTGCCAAGTGGGTCCTGCCAGGCAGGAACGAGATGGTATCTCGCACCCCTTTATTAAAGTGTGGGCCTAATCTGACTGGCCGTTATTAAACCCGAGAGAGATGGGGACGTGCAGAGATTTTTAAATGCCCGGTTAGGAACGGAAGCAGCCGCTCTTGAGATGGAGTGATATGTCCTCCTAGCTTCTATGGCCCCTTTGCAATGGGTGCTATGCTTTCCGTCCAGATAGTTTGGATGATAACTCACAAAAATCCTTTCCTGGCCCCCACTTCCCCACATTTCGACCCCACTCCTGGCTCTAAGCCTAAAGAAGCACCCCATCCTGCCATGGCTCCCTCATCTGCATGCGGCAGCTTTTTAACATATGCCTTCTTTACGCTTTGTCCTGTTAATGTCTTGGTGGTTTTGCTTCCGTTATGGAGAGATGCTGCTTCTTTACTCAAAAGGCTGAGCGCCTTTCTCTGTCTGCCTTTTCATGCTCCAGGACTGGTCTGCCATAAATGCCTTATTCCCACCATGATCACGAACCACCCACACAAAGGCTGCCTTTTAGCTCAGCCCTGAATAAGGCTGAGAAACCTTCTGGATAAAATAGTCCTCTACTGTTGTTATCCCTATTGTTAAGCCCAGTGGAAGGTGCAAAGCCTCGCTGAACAACTGCAAATCACCAGCAGGTGCGAGGGAAACAGCACCTTGTAATATGTCTGCCCATATTTCTGGGTCTGCTATAAGCTTTGTCTAGCCTAGGTTTCTGACCTGGTGTCTAAAATTTCCCGTCCCCTCAGCTCTTCGTAGCAAAAGAACTTTGTTTTATTCCGGTGACTTTAGAATAACTAAGATTCATCTCTAAATCAGGTAACAGCAATCCCATGTTAGCCACTTCCTTGGTTCTGATTGAGCTTCCCAGATGCAGACTCTAAGAGGGGCTGGTGTACTTTTGAGGGCTGCATGGAAGGGAAAATTTAGTATGTGTTACAATAGGAAAAACTATTGTAGGAAAAACTACAATAGGGTGGCAATTTTGCTTCTGTTCAGCAATGCCAGACACAAGAGTTCACTCAGTATTTTTGGATCCAGCAATTCTGGCTGAAATAAATGCTTCAGCATATGGTTTGAGAAATCACCTTGCTATCTGGCTTTTGTATTAAAAGTGCATTTAGCTGTGCATCATGTAGCTGGATTTTAAAAAAAAACTATTTCAATCGTGCCCAAACCAGTGCAAAAGTCCAGGAGTATTTTAACATGTAACCACACCCTCACTCTCAGGATTTCTAAGATTTAACTGCAAGAGAGGTCAGAGCTTCACATCAACTAGTCAAGCTTTATCTGAATGTCTGCAGAGCTCTCATTCCCCCAGCCCATCCCATATTAAGACATCATGCAGTTGCTATGCCAGCATTGACATGGGTTTTTCCCCCTCTTCCCTTCCCAGCTCTTTCTCAAAAAAAGCATTTTGCCTGATGAAAAGATCTGGAGATCTTGAAACCTTGCACACCTATTTTGTTCCTTTTCGAATAGCCCAGTATGGGTGTTACAGTGGGGGTGAGCCATGGTGGATCTCTAGGTATTGCGGGGTTGTCTGCAATTCCTATTAGCCCTAGACCTCGTTACCAATAGCGAATGCTGGAAGGAAGTGTAGTCCAACAGCATCTAGAGGGCCATGACTGTAGACCAACATCCAGAGAACCCCTGTATTATACAAATGGACTCCTTTGTGAGACGTCGCTAAATTTAAAAAGGGCTGGGCTTTTATTTGGCTCTGTCCTTTGCACTATATACAATTAATTGCTAGCGCGTGTCCCATCTACCCCAGGTTTGTCGGACTACAGTCTGGGGTGAGCTTCCCCAACTTAAGGCCTTCCAGAAGTGCTGACCTTCCACCATTCTTAGGCATCATTCACATAGACCAAAACATTTAGAGGGCACCAGAAGCAGTGAGCAGAATGCATTACATTCGCTGTGCTGTATGCTAGCTTAGCTTTGATATACTTGATATATTATTCATCCATATGTCTTGGCAACATTTTTTAAAAGGTAGAATTTAGGAAGAATATAATATTCTTAATAAGACTGAGGAGCTGAGCTGGAAATGTAGTTCATTTATACACCATAGTTCATGAAAGTGTTTCAGAAAGAGCTCTGTATGACTCAGTGGCCCGAATCCTCTTGCCGAGTCATGCTGTTATAACACGAACGGCATAATTTTCAGAGACAAATTGCCTTCAGTTAAGAAATCACCGTATACCTTATCTGTTGCATACTGAGTTGTGTGCCTCGGCACACAACTGATAGCGTCTACAGTGATTTCTTAACTGGATTTTGGCCAAAAGCTTGCTTCCTCTTCTACCAACAACCCTTCAGATGATAAAAAAGATATGGCCCTCCCCGATTGTGCATTTGTAGAATATTGGCTTATCACAAGCCCTGTTAATTTTATTTCAGCTTTGTTTAATGTCATTCCCTCTTTCCATTCCAGTATAAACACATTTCCCTTTGACAACTCTTTTGCCACCTGAATGAAGTAAGTATGCTGTGCAAATGACTTTGGCTGCTTTTTTTAAAAGGGGGTGGCCGTTGATGTTTGCCTGCTGCCTGTCACCCTTCGGGGTTCCCTTTGCTGATTAACCCCTCTAGATCTTTTTGCACTTCTCATTACATTGTGCTCCCTGGAAGCAGATCAGGAGGACAGTCCTTCTCTGCTTGGGAGCGGACCCGGGCCTGGTCTTTTAAAGAGACAGAAGAAGCAGTTGAACTCACAGCACACTTGATAGGCCGGAAGGAGAGCAGGTGCTCAGTCCTGTAACCACTGTTCCCACTCCAGGCCTCCCAACGAGGGTAGTCTCCCTTCTCCAGGATGAACTGTTGTCCCTGGTATTCGGGGTACTCATATCCCACCCAGCTGTGGACAGAAAGAAAGAGAAGGAGATTGTGTGGGACTGGCAGTTTCCAGTCCTTGAATCAACACCACAATTTGGCTCAGAGCAAAATGGTCTGTGGAAGATGATGGGTGAAAACTCTGGCAGAGTTTCCTCTTGATTCCCGCCATACACAGACATGTCCGTCCACCGAAATGGCTGTCTCCATTCCATCTCAAAGGTCTTTTAGCTGCATTATTCAGCAAAGTGGGGTTTTGCCAGTTCATGGGTTCATTCAGCAGTTCATATGGTGCCTGATAAAATTTTGTGTATCTTTAAGAGTTAAATGGCCAGGAAAGTTCCTGGGGCTTCTTTTGCCATAGCACTGTGGCAAAACCCTATCCTCTTTTTGGTAGGCCTATGAAGTTGCCTTATCTTGGCCTAGACCACTGGTACTTTAAGCTCAGTACTGTATTGTCAGTGCTAATTAATAGCAGCTCTTCAGAGACTCAGGCAGAGGTCTTCCCACTCATCTGCTTCCTAAGAGATTTAAGATGCTAGTGACCGAATCTGCGACCTTCGGTGTGCAAACGGTGTTCTCTGCCACTTAGTTCTAGACCCTCCTTAGCCTATACAATTCTTTCTCATAGGTCTGTGCATTTCCCCCACTGACAGTTTCTAAGTGGGGTCTAGGAAACACTGTAATTGTGAAATTTTGATATTTTAAATATTTTTATTAAAATGTTTAGAATCTTGGTTTTAATCTGATTAATGTTTAATTGTGCTTTAAGATAATTCTGTACAGCTTTTCAAACCTATTATCACTGTACAGTTTTAATTGCTGTGAGCCACCTTGCGTACCCTATGGGAGAAAGGCCACATACAAATAATAAAGATAAACAAACACAAGAATCAGGGCACCAAACAGAGTTAGCTACAAAATTCAA